CATTCTTTAAAGCATTGAGAACCCCTAACAGTATACTGTTTGGGGAAAAACCACTGATGGGCCCCCCAACTACCCAAGAGACATCAAAGAAGAAGGCGGTGATCGAGTTCGGCACCACTTTCAAGTCCTGAGAAGGTGTCAAGATGTGTCAAGTTCTCCTTCTTAGAAGGAAAGTTCTTGATCAGAAGTGCCCAAAGTTGCATCCAGATCTTTGAGGCGCCCACTTGTGGCAAAGCAGCTTGGACTGGCATGCTGGAAAAGAATCGAGGTGAGTAGCCCCAGTCACTGTCATAGATGTAGTTCGTGCAGGTTTCGCGTACTCGTACCTTCAAAAAGCATCAAAAGAACAGAGGCAAAGAGATGGAGCGAGAGAGCCGTAGGCAGCATGAAACAATCTCGTCTCTTTGAGCTCAACAAGGCAAAGCTTGCACGGCCTGATATTCGCTGTTACTTTGAAGCCCAAGGATGCTGCAGGTGACCTGCCAAATGCTTGGTGTGCTCAGACGTGCGCTATCCACTCTAGTCATATTGGCAGTCTCAGGCTATGGGTCACAAAGACCCTGGTTGACATCCCAAGAATACTTACACATCCTGGATTCTGCTCGATTGAACTGCGAAAGAAAGGGTCCGAATCCCTCATAACTGCCCAGGAAAACTTTGACGAAGAGAAAAAGGACTGGAGTTCGCCACAGGCCACTAAACCTGAGGACATAGGCGGCAAAGACAAACTGGCTCAATTCCGAAGTAGCGAGGTTTAACACACATGACTAGTCAAGTATCGAAACAGTGTCCAACGGTAAATGTGCGTTAAATGCATAAGACCATCGTGTTGTGCCTGGTCGACGTCCCGACGATACCTGCACTCCATGTCTCCACACCACCCGGGGCCCTTGACGTTGTACCCGGCTTGTTTGGTATGTATGACTGTATGATCAAACAATTTTGTCAAAGAGACAGCCAGAAATGTCAATACCCTATTTGACTTTGACCCACACCCATCTCAAAGTGGCCAGGCAGGCGTTCTCGCGAAACGGCAAAGCGCTACAATCCGCAAGGTCTGTCCAGTCTGACAACCTTGGCAATGCACAGGTCTGAAACGTGAAGCAAGAATTAGGCGAGAGAGTACGGTACTTGACTTCAAGCCAATTTACAATCCACGGTCATCTTGACAAGCTACAGAGCCTTTCTTGTGCTTCTTCTAAACTCTCAACTCGCAGGGGTTCAAGGAAAACTTTGGGCACAACAAGCTGTGCTAAAAGGGTCACAAAATCCTTTGTACACAAGCCAGCATCTTGGCATTCTGTTGATGCTGCGCTGGACACTGCCATTGCCTTTACACGAGGCTTGGGCTCAGAGCTTTGATGGCAAGAGACCGTTGACTGCGGCTTTTGCAACCTCTGCATCTTCATTCGGCTTCACTCCTGAAACTCCACAAGCGCCAATGATTCCGCCATGGGCAGGGTCGATAATCGGCACGCCGCCCTCCATGAGAACCCGCCCGGAGGTCAACAACGCGGCACGCTCCCCTCCATTTGACTTCTCGCCATTCACTGCAGCTTCCAAAAGTTTTGTCTCCTGAAGTAGTGGAGCGGATTTTCTGTCAGTTCTTGCATTTTTGAGGGGACTCAGAATCACTCGGACAATGTCTCAAGTGAACCAAGTCTCTCGAGCAAATAGGATGGCGGATCTTGCTTTCTCTGTGGCAATCTCCGCACCAATCGGCATACAACCATCCTAGTTCAGCTTAAACAATGTGTGATAGGAAGCAACACAGCAACACAACACAACTGCAAGTCATACTCTAGAGACAAGAAAAGGAATCAAAAAAATCGAAAGTTTAGAATGTCTCACAAGTGTCCATACGGTGCAAGGCAATCAAGTTCCCACCGACATCACAAATCGCGACAGAGACTTTCCAGCCTGCATGCACTCCGCGCGACCTTCCTCTGTTTAATGTTTCTGAGCAATTTTTGCAGCTCTTGCCCATCACAGGTGCGTTATCGACTTGATTGAGAGCTTGTTTCCTGCTACCAAATCGAAAAAACGTCGACTTGAAAATGTGCGATTCCAGACCTGACTTTTGAGCAGCTGCAATACCCGCACGCACTGCCTGCTCAGCACCAGCTAATGTCACAGCGGAGCTGGGAGCGATGGCCATGGCTTTGAGGTTCGACTATGCTTGAGCACTAGGAGAAGCCCGAGTTCGACATAATGCCTAAAATTCTCAGGATGTTCACGATCCCGTGAGTGAAATGCAAACTGTGCACTGTTTCAGCACCCTGTGGGCCCTGCGGATTTATGAAGTCTTGCAGCATCTGCACCTCTTGTAATAACGATGAAACAGGACCAAAACAGTATGCATTGCGTGACGAAACAGGCGGCAATCAGCCGAAGTCGCCTGCCAGGAGGCCCAGGTGCAATCGAGTCCAAGTCCGGGTTCAAAGCTGAAGGTCCTTGGTGCGACTATCGACTTCGAGGAGGCTGTGAAGACGTGGAGACTGGGATCTTCGTTCGGCCTTTTGGGTAAGGAAAGACCATGAGACAATCCCAAAACATGTAGACCACAAGAAGACCACAAAAAGACCACAAGATAGCAATAAAATGCTAAGCTAGAGCTAGCTTGTAGCTCTCAATATAGAAGCAGCAAGCCAGGTAACAACTTATATATACTGAATACTACCTTTTATGTTTGTCTTCTAGTAACTCGCTTCACAAAAACTCCAAAAACGTATGAACTCGGTATGATGATGAATCATATATGTATGTATGTATGTATGTATGTATCTATGTATGTATGTATCTATGTATGTATGTATGTATGTATGTATGTATTTTTCTTCTAAAGTTTCAGGTTCTTTGCCCTTTTTGGGCGGTCTGTTCTTGCCGGTTCAGACCCATCAGAAGAAGTCCACGTTGACTGGGTCATACTCTTGGCTCTCCTCTTCTCCTCGCTTCCTTGCTTTTGAACGGGTTCTGGTGAGCTGTGGCTCGTGAACTTGAGCTTTTTGGGAGCTGGTGGTGAGGGTCCTTCCTCTGGTGCTGTCAGCTGAGGTGGAGTCAACGCTGGCTGGGTTTCATGGCTGGTGGAAGGCTGACTGGTACGGTGTTGGCTGCTGAAGAGCTGCACCAGGGTTGGGGAGGCTTGTGTCTGGCCTCGGCATTCCTTCCTGAGGCTTTTGGTCAAAATGACCCGATCTGCCTGGTCCAAATGGCTTTGTATGCCACACTTGGAGCACTTGATCCCTTTTCCCTTTTGCCATAATTGGTGTGTGGCATGGGCATCGTGGGGTTTGTTGTAGGCTTCATCGATACAGGGGCTGTGAATGAAGGCTGTGAAAATGCCTTCGTTGGCTTGTTTGTGTACCGAGAGGTTGCATTTGCTGCATTTCAGGTAGCCGGTGGTCTCCTGGTATGCATGTTCATCAGCCGCAATGGGGTGCTGGTTCTGGACGGTCAGGATCTCTGCAATGATGCTGGCCCTGGTTGTCTTTTTCCCAACAGCCCTGTTAGCCGGAAGGTCTGGCTCTGGTGCTTCATGTTCAAGGAGTTTGCAGGCTTCATCGAGACGCTGCTCAATGATTTCAGCGGTCAGGCCTTGATGAACTCTGACTTGGCATGTGTGGCACTGGTACCCACTGCGGTGAGGCTTCCATTGGTGCTGGCCTTGCTTCCAGGCATTCCGGCATTGTTGAATGAGCAGTTTTTTTGCACTGTATTGTCTTGTGGTGTGACCAGCTCTCCGGACTGGTTTCTCATGGATGTAGTGCTGTGGATCTTTGAAGATCTTCTCAAGCCTGGCTGCTGCGTGCTGGTACACGTGGAAGTGGTCCTGATCAAGTGTCCGCTGCCATGCTTCCGCTTGAGGGTCATAGATGGTGTTTGCTCGTTCGTATGCAGCCAAAGCGGCATCCCGTTGTCGCTGTTGTAGATGTGGTTCACTGCCTGGTGCATCTGGGGTCCTCTGATTGCGATGGATGTACAGAGGCGTGATGCGGCTGAACAGCTCATTGGGAAACCCATGGATCAGGTTGAGGAAGCCTTTTCTCTTCTTTGGGTTGGTCCATGCTTCCCATACGGAGCCCAGTTGCACTATGACATTCACCGGGGTGAGCACAAATTGGGCCAAGGTGAGCAATCCCTGAAACAGGGCCCGGGCTTTGGTCTGCGGTCCAACCGGCATTCCTGTTATGGTGCCCTTCCTGACAAGTGCTCCCAGGGAGAAGGTGTGTATACAGAGGCCGAACACCCAGGCCTGAGCCCTTTTGTCATAGGAGGAGGGTGTGGCATCTAGGGTCACGGCCAAACCCTGCCATGGTTAGAGTGCAAGAGGTTCCAAGGCCAGCAGCCGTGGCCTTGGAGCGGCAAAGGTTGGCTCAAATGTTCTTGCGGTATCCAACCGTAGCTCCACAAGGGTTCTTCGAGTGGATCTTGCAGCCTCTCCGTCCATGGTATGGGTGAGGGCTCATGGCCTTGGTTGCGGTGCCAAGTGCACATCCAAATTATGTGCTTGGGTGTAGCCGGAACTTGGCAAAGCGGACATTGTTTGATCCTCTCTCCCTGTTTATAATGGATGGCGGCTTGATTCCAGGTTTTGACTCGACATGTTTGCCTTGGATGGCGGAGAGTTTCTTGCTGGCCTTTTTGGCCACTGCCCAATCCAAACAACTCACCAGACTTTGGCAATTCTTCTTCCCTGCAAATCTGCTGGTTCGTTGCTGCTGGAGCTCTTGAAAGAGTGTGGCTTCAATGATGAGCCAATCATCGAGCAGGTTGATGTGCGCTTCCGTCATGAAGGCTGTTTCATACCGTGTCCACTGGTACAGGCTGCGTGTTGTCCATCCCCACTCTTGTAGATACGTCAAGGTGGCGGCCATGGGCCCCTTGACATGGTACCATGGATGTTGTTGTTTGCTGAGCTTGTTGCGGAGTTGGATCCAGGCTGATTCAATGCGCGGCCTATGGTCCTGGGGCCAATGGTGAACCAGCTGATGGAGAGCATGGATGCGCTGGATGACGATCTGATCACCTGGATCTAGATGTATGTATGTATGTATGTATGTACCTAAAGTTGATGTGCTCTGAGTGCCATTTTTGGAGGGTTGCTAGGCCTTGTGCCTCACCGGCGGCCCTTGGCTCAGAAGTAGTCCACTTCGATTGGCTGCGCGTCTGCTTCTGCATGTGCAGGGTTGGAGTTGGCCACATCTGTGACTGGAGAAGTGTCGGTCGTCTGTGGGATCTGCTTGTGGGCTGGTGTTCATGGCGCGCGCAGGCTGCAATATAGTGCCAAGAGCTTGGTGGGCCTGGATGTTGCCATAGGCGTGTTGATCATAGATCGTGTCAAAATGGAGCCTCCTGGGAGTGGGTCCTCCTGCGCCATGTTGCAGTTCCTGAGGATCATGTTGGTTCAAGCTGCCTGCGCCTGTGTGGTGTCCCTGGCTGACAGGCTGCTCGGTTGTCGATATTTGTTCCGGACTGCTGTGCGAGGGAGCCTCGTCTCCTGGGCTGGAGGCTGTTGCTGCTTGAGTATCCCGCGCCTTCTGAGCTTGTGGTGGTGGGCCTCTGGTGGCTGCTCCTTTGCAGCTGCGGCGGATTGCCCCACTCTTTGTTGACCGTCAAGATGCAGTGTCAGTCCGCATTGCTTGCAGCTCACTTTGTCACCCTTCTGCCACAGTTGGTGGCTGGGATGTGCATCACGTGGTTGGTCATAGGCTCGGTCCTGGCATGGACTCTGTAGGAAGGTGTTGAAGGCAGCTTCATTCACCCTTTTGTGTACACTGCAGCCACAATTGCCACATCGAAGGTAGCCTGCCGTTTCTTCGAACCTGTGGTGGTCTTGGTGCGGTTCCTCATGACCTGAATACGGGTCATCTTCTTGGGAAGTGCCTGATGTGGCCTCGGCTGCTCAACCTGTTGTGCCTCCAGGGTGAGTTGTGGGCACGCTTGCTGGAGGCGGTCCTCAATGGTTTGGACAGTTAGAGCCTGGTGACCTGTCTTCCCAGATTGGTGACATTAGCAAAGTGGAGTTTGTTGTGACCCTGTTCAAGCCTGGCTTTCTTGGTCGGACTGGGATGGAGCGGAGGATCGAAATCCGGTTGTTCAGGTGGTGGTAGTCCTTGAAGCACCTGTTGTGGCGTTTTGAAGGTGTCTAGGGTCACCGCCCAAACCTGGGTGATTTGGCTGGCCAGACTGGGTGTCAAATGGGGTAGATGTACCGGGACCTTGCCATCGTCAGCTAACCACATCGTCTCTGTAGATCAGTATGGCAAAGTAGTGTCCAGCTTGGTGCGTATGGCCTCTGTGGCAAATGAGGACCGCTGGGACGAACTCGGTTGAGGTTCGAGCAAAACCATCATGATGTATGTATGTATGTATGTATGTATGTATGTATGTATGTATTTTTCCTGAAGTTGGTTGTTGCTCGTCGTGTGCCGTTTAGGCCGGTGCTGCGCTCACTCCATGCCAGCTCAACAGAAGTCCACATTGACCTCTGGATCTGCGTCGTCCTCGGTCTCTTCCTCTGCTTGCTCCATTGGGCTGGGTGTCATGGCCTGTGGAGCGGCATTTGCAAAGGAAAGGCACCATCACAGGCATGGCACGAGGTGCTCAATCCAAAGCCAGAGCCATCTTCCAAGGGCTCCTGACCTTAGCACAAGTCATCCAAACCCCCACGACGGTGATTGTCCAGGTCAGCTCAGTCTGGGAGGCATGGACGAATCCGGGCAAGCGGAAAGGTTTCCACGATCTCGCCCAGGGCCAACCAGCAGAGTACTTCACTCTCATCACGCCGCTGTACATCCACCAGAATCACAAAACCCGCGGGGCCCCAGGCAATGAACCTCATCTACGCCAACGCCAGAGGGATGCGGCCCTTGCAGCTTGGGAGCGGGCAACCCAAATCCACAATCCCGACAAAGAGGCCTGGCAACGCATCCTCGACCAAGACCACCTCGACATTGACAAACATGCCGCAGCGAGACTTGCCAAAATCTATGAAGACAAGGAGCACTACCTGCACTCCAAACCTGTGGAGTGCTTGGACATGTTGGAGGACAACCTGGTCTGTTGGATCCATGTAGGGTGCTGCTGCTGGCCGTAGATCACATCTGTGATGCCTCCCGGGTGTTGTCCAAGATGGGTGGCAAGGGCTTGGCGGAGTGCTTGTCTGTATCTGGGCGCCAACCCTTGTCCCTCAACTCCCCAGAGTGCAACCGGCTGAGTGCCCCCTCTGTGGAGTCTGAGCCGTGTCTTCAGGTTTGGGAGCCGAAGAGAGCGCAGCTTGATCCTGCGTTGTTTGTGCTTCTTGAACCGGTTTTGCAGAGTAGCAATCCTGCGTCTTCGACCCGCTTGATGGTCAATGCCAAGGTCTCTCATGACCGACTGGATTGGAGGATCATCTGGCCCCAGAAGTTTCTCCAATGCCCTGTGTGTGGCTCGATCGGTGACAATGAAGGCA